GGAGCACCCTTGAATGCATCAGACGCAAGCAGTCCTGGTGCGGCCTGTACTGCTACAAAGTCGGATATGGACAGTACACCCATTTACTTCATGAATTAAAAAATATCTCCAACAGAGAAGAGCAGTTATAAGCGAATTTTAGCTATAGTAGAAGCCTCTAAAGAATTCAGAATTACTTTTAGATCTAAGGTCAGATAATTAGGATTGCGATGCTTTCCAGAAGACATGTTAAGAAAGATTTAACTCCTAAATGCGAGATGGCGTTACTTCTAGAAGATTTGACTATGAAATGTTCCCAATCTTTGCAACAAATAAGATGTGGATTCATTAAAGAATGCGTGATGATGGTTACTTGTCTCAGGGCGAGTTACAGCCAAATTGCAGCTGCCAAAAAGTGCTGAGCGTCTCATTTCTAATCATTAGTCGAGCAAGGACTAAAAGATTTTCTAGTGAAAAATGGAGTATATACATTGGACGTGGTAGGAGTTGTGTACCCGAAGCTTAGACTAGAAATCATATTTAGTAACACACAAGGGACATTCGCATGTCTAAAACGAAGATCTGCTGAAACCGACTTCCTTAAAAACGATTGAACAAGTTATTTAAATGTGTAGAATTATTTTGTCAACAGAAACGAGTAAGAGAGAGGATTGCTGATCCCATACCAAAGATATGTATCCTTGAGCCTTTCATAGCGATGTATGGCCATTACCGTCGACAAATAAGAACTACAATCCATCTTAACCTGGTGATGCTCACAAGTTAGGTCACGTATCAGTAAAGTCTACATCAGCTCAAAGGCATGCAGAAGCTGACACTGCAACAATACTTCCGTAATCCTTTAGAATTAGAAGTGATAAAGATACGCATTTACCCTGACTTCGAAGTTACTGTAGTCAAGAGACGACCAGCACCATTTACAAATACAGGCGTTCATAGAGGAAAGGACAAGTGAAGGATCATCCACTATGATTCCAGTCTATCAAATATCCATAGATGATCCAACAAATATGTGGAGATGTATAACGGATATTAACATCTAGAGATAGCACAAAGGTTCTCTTTTGAGCTTCTCACTGGTGTTAAATGAAATCGGAGGACTTAAAGTTATGAAAATTCTGAAGAAGAAGAAAGAAATATTACATGAAATCCATAAATCTGGCGGGACGAAAAAAATCATTCTAAAAATTCAGGAAGAATAGAAAACATCAATGAGAAAGAAAGAGACACACGTATACATGTGAACGAATTAGTTGCCATACAAAGACGCAGTATGGAGGTGGTCTGAAGTTAAGGCCAAAGTTCTTCGGTCCATACCGTATAACAGCGAGGAAAGGCAAAGATCGCTACCAGGTGAAAAAAGTGGGACAGCATGAAGGTCCTGGATTTACCACTACAGCAGCTGATCTCATGAAGCCGTGGACTGCTACAGTATAGGATTATGTGTGGTTCTTCCACACATCTTTCTTTTTTTTTTCCTTTTCTTTCTTTTTTTTTTTTTTAAATTTATTTTCAGGTGCTGTCTTAATGTTCCAGTGTCGCTGATCCGTGTTTTCGAGGACGAAAAGTGTCAGGACGGACGAGCTGTAGTATCTGTAAGGACGACACAATCACCAGAGGGCCTCACCGATACGCCAGCAGCGAGAGCGAGGTGAAAGAGGAGTATGACAGAGACCTTCTTTTGCTATCCCACGCGAAGGTGGTGAGATGTCTACACGTGAAAGTGTAGAATAAGGAACTGTAGTTTTCCACGCGAAGATGGTAAATGAGGTATAAAACCCAGCAATGCGAGTAGGCACTAATAGGTTAAGTGATAGACTGGCAAGGATATACAGAATCTGTTGTATCAAACGGCACTTGTATTTAATCTAATTTGTACCTTCTTCTGAGTTCCTTTATTAAATGTTCTGTGGTGTGGAAAACACGTTGGAATTGTTATTTAGCATCTTCAACTCCCCCACTACATAAATGATTTGAATAATACACTTAATCACTCATTTAGATATTTACTTACCATACATAAAAAATTACAATAAAAGCCTGCTTAATCAAAATCCCTCTTAACACAAATGGTGGAGGGGGAATAACACTGACTCACAATCATGTGCAAATTTTGCCTCCTGACTAGAAACCTTTTCTGTTTACATAAACAGAAATCTGTGAAATATTCTTTTCAGGAGATTGTAAATTTGTTCAATTAAATGACAGATTATGTCAATTTGAATTTTCATTTTATTAAACAAGCTGGAAGTTGTTAAGCTACTAAATCAGGAAAACCAAAGGTTCCAATAATATTTTAATTGCTTAATGACTGAAATTATGTCGAAAATCCCCAATTTTTTTATAACATTTTTATTATCTACAGAGATGAGCTTAGTAGATGTAGCTTTGTAAGGCACACACACACACACACACACCACACAAAAAAAAAAAAAAAAAAAAAAAAAAAAAAACAATTTTTTCGTGGAAAAAACAAGTTATTTATTAAGGTTCATGACTAACCGAGTTAACTCGGGTCTCAGTGAAGCAGCCCCCCAAAAAACTCAATCTAGCCAGAAGTAATACAAAACTCTAGTGAAGCTAATAATAGGTAATAAGAGCTAGAGTAAAAATTAAGTAAATAGATTTTAAGATCCATAAATATCACTGACAGTATGCTACAGCCTGAAACATGGTGTAACATATAGCCACACATCACAGTCTGCAACAGCATGATAATTTGGTAATCAAACAAACTGAATTCAATAATAAACTGAATGTACAGTTCATTTATAATGCAACCACGTCGCCGACTGCAGCTCAGGATCATGGAGGAACCAATCACAAAAACTGCTAGGACCTTTCCCACAGCTAAGAAAACATGTGCATGACAGAGTGTCGATGAACCAAACACAAAAGCAGCTTGGATTCCTTCCACAGCTAAAAAAACAAGTGCATGGCAAAATGTCGATTGCCACGCGATATTACAGGCAATGGCATTAACTCTTTTGCATCGAGAGACGACCAAATCTCTTTTACTCAAACAGTGAAAACACCTGTGTATACGAATTTCTGTTAGAATGTTTTTCCTTCCCCCATGATAAATTGAATACTGCAGCACTAACAATAACCTACTTAAGTAAAGCGGTAACTTCAGGCATCAATAGCTAAACATTGACAGTAAACAAAGAAAAAAGAAGATGCATTAAAATAACAGAACTACTTTTAGTCACTTGAAATGAATGATTGACATGTCATTTAACAACCCTTGAAAGCAATGAGCAATGCAGTAACGTGATAAGGAAAAGCACTAGGTAGGAAATTATTCAGGCGGTCAGGCAACCTGCTGTTGTCTGAATGCTCAGGCGTTTGGGGTGACTTCGATGTGAAAGAGATAAATATCTGTAAAATGTTTAGCACCCAAGTTAACTCATTCATAGGAGAATCAAAACGGCATCTAGTCCAGAGATATCTCGAGCGTGGTTGTTAAGTGGTTAAAATATTATGACATGCCAAGTGGGTTTTGGTATTTATCAGTGGTCCATTCAGTAAAGACAATGAGGATTATCTCTGTTGCGGTTTATATGCACATCATCACAATGAAATTTCTCTAGCTTAACTAGGATAAGCTGGGGATGAATTTAATTAAATGCCAATTTAATGGCTACTTGCTATCATAAAGCATTAATGGCCTACCAACATTATCACTAACAACACCAAGCTTCTGAACACATTTCTGGTATTCAAAACCTTGAAGATATAAACGAAGGAAACAAAATATGTGCGAATTGAGAAAAAAGGAATAATGGTAAAATAAGACTAAGACAGTCTAGTTGTAGAGATTCAATAGAAGTCCACTGAAGATATAATGAGGAAAATGAAATAAAGGTGAAATAACAAAGATAAACACGATGAGGTGCAAGATGTAAAAAGGAAAATGAAGTAAAGGAGAAATAACAAGGATAACCCTGATGAGATACTAAAATCTATATAGTATAAGCTTTTAGACTACATGAATGAATAAACACAGCTTGAATTTACAGTGATTACAGATTTTCAGAGAACTACTATACTGATTCAACTACATGATTCTAACAAGAGAAATAACATATATTTTCACAAAGAAATATTGAATACAACTTTATTTCTGCTGATCTCCCTCTCCTCGGCAATTTAATGTTAAACAATTAAGGTCTTGAAAATCAAAATAATTTTAGAACAAGAATTTATCAACATCTATTATAAGAGCATTTTCATTTCTTATCTACTTCCAAATTTTTAAAATCGTACTGGGCTTAAATTCACAGTAATATATGATACATGTATTGCCATCATACATTTAAAACTACAGATGAGCATACTTAGCATGTTTCTTGAGAATTAATTACAATTTTAATTCAAAGTCATTTTCAGATTAACAGTGGGATTATAAGGGTATTGCATTAAGCATCAGTTAGAATAATTGGGAGAATATTATATTACAGAACAGTATTTCTAAAAATAAAAATGTCTTGTTATTTATGGAATATTAGTTTATTTAATTGCATGTTTCTTAGAAATTTAATGTTTTTTATATATTTGCAAGTTTAAATGAGAGTACCATTCATCTGAAAGATATATTTTTCTCATTTTAGTAATTTAAAGTTATAGCTGAAGTGAAAATAAAATTTTAAGTTTTCTATTTTAATTACCATCTTCATTACACTTTTTAAGAGATTTTATTAGCAAAAAGTTAAAGATTTAAAAAGAAATGCTTGAAGTTTATTTTGTACAGAATGCATTCAAATATAGCATTATTTATCAAAAATATTGCACACAAAAGAGCACAATTTTCATTTATTATGAAAATGAGCTTGACTAAGCAGATCAAGACATAGCAGAAGTTGTCAAAGCCCGAAACACAATTAAAATAAATAAGTAAAAAAAAATGAAATATATATTACTTCTTTGATTAATACATACATGTAAACATATTGCAATATACAGTTTTATTTAACAGTATTATATCTAGTTGCTTTTACCTTTTATTGTCATGGATTACTTGAAAGTGTTATCCAATACGATTCCATTATTTCAGATAAGTGAGATTCTACTGGAGTTACACTATAATTTTAAAAAATGTTTTCTCAATTAAAAACCTAAATAAGCTATTCTCCACTTCAGTAAATAAAAGAAATATAACTTACTTACTCTCAGTATGTAAAACTGTCTCTGGAAAAGGCCATTTGCTCAGTAATTCTTTTAGAGAAAAAAAGGAGCTCCGATTTGGAACATTCATAAAAAAGTAGAAACCTCATACTAAGCCTACCTAACAGAAAATATTTCTCTATTTTCCGAAATTCTTCTTGCCATGACATCATGACCCCCCAGAACAATATACGGATTTTCAAATTTCGAACGGATACAAGACTCATGAGCTAACACTTATGAGTGCATCCATGGATGTAGTCAGATGGCACTGCTGTTTTTTCTTAGTTGTGATACATCTTATCAGCAGACGATTCCCTCAACTCTTCTTTCAAGTTCACGATTCCCGTTGTTGTATTTTCTAAGCTTTGTTATTTCACGAGATTATTTAGTGCTGCCTTTTTTTTAGCCGGATATTTTGTGGATAAATTAAGAATATTTTAAGTTCCAGCCCTTTTTAATACAATTACAGATAAGAAACGCACTCATGATTTTACTGCTTGCAACGTTGAAAAACGTAAACACGTTGCATTGACGGTAATGCAAAAAGCACAAATTCTGCAAAACATGGAGATAGGTGCATTTTATAGCAAAATCATAGGGAATTGCGATACGATTGTGTATGATATAGGGAAAAATTAAAAAAAGCTGTTGGAATTTTATAGCAACAGTGATTCTAACACCGGAATCCGAAACCGGAAATCTTTGCATGAGGCGAAATCGGCAAACCTCGATGTTGAGATATATAATACAAGAATAAATAATCAATTTATATATGTAATAATAATTTAATGCATGTAATAAGTTATTGCAATAATGTATATAATAATTAATGTATCTAATACGCCTTATTTATTTTGCACTTTTAGTCTGAATATTATGATTATTCTTTTCTGTCCTGAAATCCACAAAATCCTAAAATCCGCACAACCTCTGGTCTCAAGCTTTGTGCATTTCTGGACTTCTACTGTACAACTTTCATGCGGCATCACTTCTAAAAATTTATTTCCTGATCTATTTCAAGACATCATTTTAAAATTTAGTTGTGAAAAGGATCTTTTTAATTTAGTCCATAGCTTAAGACAGACACTTCTAAACACAATTTTAAAATTACCAAAAAAATTTCCTTCAAATTAAATTTCAGCTTGCTAGTTATCATATTTAACTTATTAATTATCAAATTCAATAGTCTCTAACATGGATATAATTTTTATGGTGAGCTTAATGATACTAGTAATAAATAATATCAATAGCAGCAGCTTACCTTTAAGATAAGGGCTTATGCTGCTCTATCATATTTTGGATATTTATATATCCTATTTGGACCAAAGGCCTTTCCAATAATTTAGTGGTAGGGGAAGTAGGGAGTGAAACTATTGGATGTCTCCTGGGTGATCCTCCTTCAAAAATGTGATGGAACTGGACATACTCAACACTGGGATGGAACTATTGCTGCTGACATAGTCATGGACACCTTATAGGTATCTAAAGGGTCGTTTCCACTGCAGTTTATCTCAGCTAACACAGTCCATGTGTCAACTAGCTCTGCTAAGCCTGCAGTTCAGATTTTTCAACTTGTTGCCCTATGGGAGAAAACTGGTTTTGGAGATGGGTCGGCAATGTCAGTTGTGTTCGTTAGCTCAGATAAACCCCAGTGGGAACGCCCTTAAGATTTATGCTAACGACAGATGTAGTCCTATGCTGCTCACCAAGATAAAATTCATGAACTTGATCTGATGTTACTATCAGACAAGCGAGTTAAGTCACAATGAGTCCACAAAGCAGTTAAGATTCTATGAAAACAAATATTTAGATTTACACAGGAACACAAAATAAATGCATGTTTTAGAAATGGGATAAAAGTGGGAATGCAAAGACCAACATCAACCAGTCCCTAATAGTAGCTCACAGCTTTAAGTTTTAGAAGTCACAGCATTTTTTAAATCCATCAGAATTTTAGAAATAATGATTCTATTGGCATTATCCAGAGGATTATAACAGTGACCAAGGACGAATCTTCAAATGACAAAATAATTTGAAAAAGTAGAATAAAAACCTATAAAAAGATGGGCTTCTATGTTGGATATGGATTCTGCAGTTCCTGAATATCATTCATAACTGCTTTACGATCTACTTATAGTTGTGCAGAGGAACTGATGCCCATCACCAGGATGCGACATACACATTAACCCTTTCAGGACGGAGACATCCCATATACTCATTCCCTAACAACGTCTCTTACAGCCGAGCGTCCCATCCATGATCACTAGAGATTGCGTTCAGAGGATGAGTAATGCGTATACACATTTTAAGCTGAAACGTTTTCCGAAGACCACTAGATGGCATCCTATGTCCATTATTTTTTAAATGTACACAGTTTTAGGTTCCTGACCTCGAGTTTGAAATATTCTGCCTGACTTTGTATTTTGCTCATCAACTGTTGCGAGGGTGTGGGTGGAGGGAAGTGTAAATAGAGGTGGGCTCTTTAAATCGCCGCATGCTAATATAAACAGGGTGGTGCGGATGGAGAGCCAAGGCCTGTTTTTTCGAGTTTGTGTTTTCCCTCTACTATGACAGTCTTTTAGGTTACTATGTGGCATTCTGTTACATTTGGCATTGCTTTAGATATAGGGCAGTTGTTCGATGGGGGGGCGGAAGCCCACCCCTCCGTCTATTATGGTGGGAAGGGGCTATTTATCAGAGGAAGAATCCCTCTTATGTTAATGACCCTTTACTAACACAGTGAGAGTGATAATGCATTTCTAAAAGCTAGAAAGGAAACTTTTTCTAAGAATTAGAAAATGAGACTCTCCGTGCTTCGGATTTATCACACTAAGTCTCCATATTAAATTTTGTTATTTCTTACTGTAAATAGTCTTTATTGTGTTGTTATATTAATTTTAAACCTTTTTTTTCCCAATGGCAGATTGTAAACAGTTACAGTGTAACCCAGTCCATTAATGTATACAAGGCCAGATGTGGTAGTCTCTTTATTATGGAAGCATCTAATAGATGGGCAACCATCACTTCCTATGAAGGGTCGGACAGTATCAACCATGTCTTCTCCGGGATTCGAACCCAGGCCCTTCGGTATCGCAGTCAGCTTCCCTAACCACTATACCGACTGGGCGGCTATTTTAAACTTTATTGATGGATTTTTATCAATTGAAACTTTGGAATAATTTAAATAGCGCTTCCAAAAATTATTTTATAAGATAAGCAATTTTTGAATAATTTTCATGTAAAATACAGAAAAAACGGTTATTAAGTGCTAATTTTAACATATATAAGAGTTCAAGTAATGATCTAAAATGATACCAAAAATAACGATGCTAGAAGGCTCAGATGCGAAGCACATGTACACAGCCGCCTAGGCTAAAAGCCTCATCCTGTATGTAACGCATGGGGAAATGGCATAACTTTCCTAACATAACATGAGTGACGTTCGCAGAGAATTCCAAAATAAGGAACTCTCACAAGGTGTTGTGATGGTGAGATCCTTGTGTATACCACCTCCGGAGAAGAAGGTAAACTGCATAAGAAATTGAAGCAAATTAAGTCCGGAAAATAGTCGTGAAGATTTCCTGCTTTTCTATTGGTTCGTCATAGAGGGAGTGTTAAATCTTTCCTAGTCTTCTTATTCTGCGAAATTGATGAGCAGCATAGCTGCTTGGAAGCCTGTTTGTAATTTTTCTGCAGAATTCTTTGCTGACCTTATTTTGCCAATATAAGAGATAATGGAGGTTAAGAATGAGTTAATCTTTTCATCTTGAATCCATTTCATTGCATCCCTGAGGTCTTTAGGGGGTAGAGTAATTTTACCTTTTAGTTTCTTGCTGTAGGTAGCTTGGCTGGGATTTTTCTTCGCTGGAATTTCAGCAGTCTTGGAGCTAGGGAAGTTTTCTTCGGAAAATTCAGGAGCTTTAGGCTGTGGAGGGCTGTTTTTCTTTTCGTGGCAGAATCTGCAGAAAATACATTTAGGTTTGTCTACTGGCTTCATGTTGCATTGGTTACTTTGATGTTGTTGCCCGCACTTTACACATCTGACGGGATTACTGCAACAATATTGCGAATGATCAAACTGCTGGCAGCGGTAGCATTGGACTGGCCTTTTCTTGGGATTGAACTTTTCTATGGTGACGTTAAAATTAAACACATTATTAAGCTGACAAGTTAGCAGATAGATTGGCAAAGCTGCCACTGAAAATCAAATTATTGATTTTGAAGTAAAGACTTCCTTTGACAGCTTAAAATCCCTGTTAAAAAGAAAAGGTTTGACTCTATGGCAAGCAAAGTGGAATGACCCAGATTCTAAAGAAAGATTCAAATATAATTTAATCTCAATTATAAGTGAAAGAAGATGCCTAAAAGTATCTAAACCAAGCCTTAAGTAATCATGGACACTTTCAATTTTATTATAATAGGTTTTCGATAAAAAATTGTGGTCCATGTGGTATGAGTAATGTCGATATTGAGCACCTGTTGTTTAGATGCTCTTCTATGAAAAATATTGTTCTAAGATTTATTCCAGATATTGCTAAATTTAAAACTCTAAAGGATCTAAGTAAAAATACAGTGGCCTAAATGAAATTGTCAAATTCATAAAATAGTATCTGTAAAATGAATGAAAAATATTGATTGTGTTTAAAATTTCCCTGTCTGTTTTAAGGAAAACTAGGATTTTATTATATTCTGTTTATTTTTATCTCTTTGTATATAACATATTTTTACGCATGTAAGTAATAACGTGTTTATATTACAAAGTATGTAATGTTTGTTGTTGTAGCTGGTAAATCTCACCAGCTCCTAGATTTTAAGTTTATATTTTAGTTGTTTATTCTATTTAAAGTTATTTCAGGTAGTATGGTGGTAGTTCTACTGCTTAATGGACCTGACTTAGGCCTTGTTTTAGACCT